GCCTCCTGATTCAATCTGAGATCAAAGGAGCTTTATCTAAAGCTGTATTCATATTCATATGTATAAACAGAGGCATAGAATCAAGATCAGGCAAAGTATTAGTACCGCTTTATAAAACCCTAGTGAGGCCACACCTGGAATACTGCAGCCAGTTTTGGTCACCATATCACAAAAAAGATGTTGAGAGTTTGGAAAGAATTCAGAGAAGAACAACTAAGAGGATCAGAGGCCCGGAGACTAAAACATACGAAGAACAGCTGTAGGACCTGGGTTTGGCCAGTCTAAAGAAAAGAAAAAATAGGGGAAAGATGATAGTAGTGTTTCAGTATCTGAGGGGCTGCCACAAGGAAGAGGGGGTCACATTGTTCACCGGAGCACCAGAGGGAAGGACGAGAAACAATGGTTGGAAACTGATCAAGGAGAGAAACAACCTGGGATTAAGGAGAAACTTCCTGACAGTGAGGACAATTAACCAGTGGAACAGTTTGCCTCCAGAAATCATGGGCGCTCCATCACTGGAGATTTTTAAGAAGAGGCTAGACCAGGAGTGTCAAAATGCCGGCACGCGGGCCGGATGCGTCATGGTGAAACCGCACCCACCCATTGCTGGCAATGGAAAAAAAGGTCACGATACATCGCAACATGTCACATGATGTTGCAAATTTGAACACCCCTGGGCTAGACAGTCACTTGTCTGAGATGCTGTAGGTTCTCCTGCTTGAGCACGGGGCTGGACTAGAAGACCTCCAAGGTTCCTTCCACCTCTATTCTGTTCTATCCTATTCTATTCACCATACTGAGCTATCTGGACCAGATTTCTGACTTCTGCCTCAATGGATTAGAAACACTTCATCTACCTCAAATATCATTCCCAACTGTGATCAATCAAACTTTTAGGAAACACCAACAGGGGAAGAATATGGAGGCAATTATTTTCCTCTACTGTTTGATCCAAAGCAGTTAGCTATCTGGTCCCCTGTGGTCTTTAAATACAAAAGAACTCTATAGATAGCCACTTCAGAACATGGCAAACCCTGCTGGAAGAGGGCTAGGACTTATTTAGGTCCACACCATGCCTTCCTTGATGGAGAATAACAGGTGGACAAGAAGCTGAACAAACAAGTGGCTTTTTCTGCCCAGCTGGGTATATTTAGCGATATCATCCTTCTGAATCAGGAAGATGGCAGAGAAAGCCTTCTGTGCAAGATTGACAGGGTGGTTGTAGATGGGTTGGTGAAACGCCTGCCTAAACCTCTGGAGAGCTCTTGAAAGTCAAGGACAATTGAGTGGGAAGAACTTAAGAAAGGTCAGGCTCAGATTAAGACACATTTTCGTCTCCTTGACATCCCAGTAGTGACAGAGAGCGCTATCCAGCAATTTGTCTAATCTTCTTACAAGCAAAGTCCCCATCTCTGGCTACAGATCTCGCAAACGCAACGGATTGGCGAAGGAAGCAATGCACACGATCCAAACGTGTTCAGACATGGACATCAGGAAGAACTCAATCTCATCCAGGTTTCCTATTTCAAATTCCTCTGTCAGTAGGGAAGTCAGGGTCACTTAAGAGACTTGACTCTATGGAGATTCTCAAGTATCCAGGTCACAGTTGTCCCAAAGATGCTTTTTTCCCGAGGCAACTGGACTTCCTTGTTCTTCTTTGAATACGTTTCCCTGCTCATCCAAGAAGCTTCTTCAGCTCTTAATAGACTCATCTAACAACCGCCTAGTTTAGCCATGGAAATTTTGGTCCCAACTGTGTTTGTGAGTCAAGTGATGGTCTCAGGTTGGAATTAGGAAAGTTCATTAAAGGAATTGCAACAAGCAGAAAGTTACAACTGCAGTGAGTGTAATGAATGGTGGGACGCCTGGCAACAAGAAAGTTACAAGTTACTAGAGGAAATGGCAAAAATTTCGGCTTTCTTGAAAGATCAATCGCAAGAGAAGTATCTCTTGGTGTGGAAAAGATGGATAAATTTTATACAATATAAGTATGATATAAGAAAATACCATCTAGCTTTTGAATAATTTATATTTACAGTTTAAGATATTTATGTAGAAGTGTAATTATTATCATTTTTTAATTTTTTTTTATCTTTTTTTATTTTATTTTATTTTCTGTTTTTTATATATAATGGAGTTAAAGTATGTTATAATCTGTTTATTGAGTGTAATGATATTGGTTTAAGGTTTATTTGGGTTTAAAAAAATTTTCTTTTAAGTTCTAGTTAAGCCTGTATTCAGCTCTGGGAAGAATGGGGGAGGGTTTTGGGGAGGGTTGGGAGGGATTGGGGAAAGGGTATAAACTTTGGTAATCTCTAGCTTATTATAATAGTAAAACACTCCCCCCTTTTGAATAACAACAACAACAACAACAACAACAACAATAATAATAATAATAATAATAAAGTTGGAAGGGATCTTGGAGGTCATCGAGTCCAACCCCTTGCTCAGGCAGGAAAACCTATATCATTTCAGACAAATGGCTGTCCTGTCTCTTCTTAAAAACTTCCAGTGTTGGAGCATTCACTGCTTCTGGAGGCAGGTTGTTCCACTAGTTAATTGTTTTCACTGTCAGGAAATTTCTTCTTAGTTCTCGGTTGCTTCTCTCCTTGGTGAGTTTCCATCCATTGCTTCTTGTCCTGCCTTCAGGTGCTTTGGAGAATAGCTTGACTCCCTCTTCTTTGGGACAGCCCCTGAGATATTGGAGCACTATTATCGTGTCACCCCTCGTCCTTTTCTTCATTAAACTAGATTAGAAAGCTTATTAACATAAACATGTGATGCATGAAGAAGGGGGGTAAAGTAGAAGAATCCAATCAAAAGAAAATATATGTCAAGGAACCAAGGATTGATTCCTAGGGGGTTAACTTCCTTAATCATGGCTGTATAAAATTTGTGCTTGTGCATTGTTCAGGGACTTGGCTCTGTTAGCTACTGAGAACCTTTTGCTGGGGTACCCCAATAAAAGAAGCTGAAAACGCCATTCCTCGTGCCTGGTGGTCTTTATTGGCTTTGGTGCCAAGTTAGGACCAATTCTGGGAACAACACAAGGACTATTTGTATAAAGGCACGCATATTCTCCAAACATCTTAAGAACATTGAGGCTGGGTCAAAGGAACAGAAAAGAAATACTATTTCCTGGCACGACGTAATAACCTAGAATAGCTGGGATTTCTTTCTTTTCGTTTTATCCCTAGGATGGTTGATTAAAAGCCATGCCAAGGTTGAACAGTCTCCCAAAGTGGGTGTTCCCCTTGCTTTGCTGTGAACAATTCCTGACAATATAAATGAGATGTCTGGGCGAGAAAAATTGCAAGGGTGACAATCAGATGCCTTAGGACAGTGGTTCTCAACCTTTCTAATGCCGTGACCCCATAATACAGTTCCCCATGTTGTGGTGACCCCCAAGTGGGTGTGGCCACCAATAAGAGGGAGTAGGACAGCTAGGGAAAAGGGAAAAAAATGGCGGACAGCATGGTTTGGTGACCCCCATGAAATGGTCATTCGACCCCAAATGGGGTCCCGACCCACAGGTTGAGAACCACTGCCTTAGGAAGAATATCCCCTGCATGAAGGATATTGGCTTGCAGTTAATTATGTTTATTCTGGGACTGCATTTGGGGGGGGGTGACCCAGGGCAGTGTCTTTGGCCAACATTTCAGAAGTTCGCTCTCTTTCTGATAGGAGAAGAAGGGGAGAATTCTGGTTTAGTGCAACTCAGTTCTTCAAGGAAAAGGAAGGTGGGTCTCTAGAACAGTGGTTCTCAACCTGTGGGTCGGGACCCCATTTGGGGTCAAACGACCATTTCATGGGGGTCGCCAAACCATGCTGTCCGCCATTTTTTCCCTTTTCCCTAGCTGTCCAACTCCCTCTTATTGGTGGCCACACCCACTTGGGGGTCACCACAACATGGGGAACTGTATTATGGGGTCACAGCATTAGAAAGGTTGAGAACCACTGCTCTAGAAGGACTAGGGATGACATGAAAACATCTTCCAATATTTGAGGGGTTGCCAGAAAGAAGAGGGGTTCACCTATTCTCCAAAGCACCTGAAGGCAGGACAAGAAGCAATGGATGGACTCTAATCAAGGAGAGAAGCAACCTGGAGCCAAGGAGAAATTTCCTGACAGAACAATTAATCGGAGGAACCGCTTGCCTTCAGAAGTGGTGGGTACTCAATCACTGGAAATTTTCAGGAAGAGATTGGAGGGCCATTTATGTCTGAAATAGTATTGGGACTCCTGCTTGATCAGTCCCTTCCAAACTCTGTTATTCTTTTATTCCAAAACACAGGTCCTTCCATCCTGGGATCTTACCCAAACCTAATTGGTTTTAGGAAGACGCCAAACAGCCTTTCCTGCCTGAAGTGACTACGAGTTTAATTTATTTTATTGTCCTTTTATTGTTTCCCAACTCATTCCTCTAATGAACATGTTGAGAGCAGGAAGCAAAGCAAATCTATACTTTCATTATTTATAAATAGATCATTTTTAAGAGGTAATAGAGATTCTCTCTCTCTCTCTCTCTCTCTCTCTCTCTCTCTCTCTCTCTCTCTCTCTCTCTTAAGATTCTTGGAGTTAGTTCACCATTTAGAGTCATACAGTTTGGTTGTTCTCCCCCAAAACTCTGTCCTATGTTTTTTAAATTTCTTCTGGAAACAGCAACAGCACCAAATATGTTGCAAACCTCTCCTCTCTCACACTTTCCAGATCCCTGAAGTTGCAACTGTTGAGGTGCTACATAATATTTGGAGAGAAAAGTCTCATCTGATAAAGGTTTCCTAAATCCTTGTTTCTGTGTTGTAACAATGATATGGCCTTTCCAGATCAGGGGACAAAGTCAGGAGAGACAATCACAATCAGCCCATGTCAGCATTATGCTACTCAGTCATAAGCACCAGAGTCAATCTATCTCAAAGTTTCCAGGTTGTGAGCCTGGAGGTCAAAAATATATTCACTAAGAAGACCTATATGGCTTCCTTTCTTGTAGAACACAACTCTGGGAAGCTCCCCACAACCAGAAAGAGGAAAACCAGGAGACGCTGATGCCTGACCCACAATCAGATGATACATGAGATCATACAATCCTCAGGTTCCCACCTCACCCTATTCCAGAATGTAAACATAGGGGTAGGCCAACCCTTTATAGCTTTTCTGAAGGCTAAAAATTGGGGAGCTTGCTGGATTGCAAGGATAAATGTGTTCCACACGGTAGTGTTTGTGTCCTTATATTCCAGTTTTGATGAGCAGTGAAGAGCTATTTGATTTTACGTGTTTTTGTGAGTTTTCCCAGGCAAATCTAGTCAGTGCAGAAATAAGCTTCTCTGTTCAAATGTATGTTTTTTTCCACCCAGCTGCAATTTACCTTCTTTACCTTACAGGTAATGGACATCACTTATCCAGGGGTATATTTTTCCTTGGATTTGATGAAGGTTTAAGCATTCAAAAGCGGGCCTATTTTTTCTTCTTATTATAATGATTATGATTATGATTGGTGCTCCTTTTTTTTTTTTTGTTCCCCAGCTCAGCAATTTGTTAATTTCAGGAAAGAAATCGTTCCCATTCCTTCAGCCACAGACTAAAAGAGCCTAAAATTAATAGCTAAGTCAGTATCGGTCGAAGATACCCGAGCAAGGAACTAAATCAGAACCAGTAGCGTTCCAAAGTCGCAAATTAATGTTTTTACGAGTTGCCACGTCCTTAACTAGCAAAGGAAAGTGTGAATTATTAACAAAGCCAATGGTTTGAAAAAAGGGAAGCCTACGTTCCTAGCCCAGGGCTGGTTAAGAATAGTTGAAACGGTTTATAGAAGTGCAGTGGTGGTCTCCCAGGAAACCACAAGAAGAACCACCCTTGGAGAGAGCTTCGCACACACTTCCCACAGTTAACCAAACCACAATTTTTTCCCACAAGAAAATGTCAGGGGTTTATATCATTCATTCCCCTGTGACTCAACCTTGTTTACAACAGCCAAGTTGGACAATACTCTAGGACAGGGGTCTCCAAAATTTGGCAACTTGAAGGCTTGTGGACTCCAACTCCCAACAAACCTGTGCTAGAAGGGATTGAAGTTAGCAGAGAGGTGAGGAGGAGGAAGAGGAGAAGGAGAAGAATGATTCTGAGAACTGAAGTCTACAGGTTTTAAAGCTGCCAAGTTTGGAGACAACCGGACTAGTCTAACTGATTCATTTGTGGTTTAGCATTTTAGGCAACCAACTTGTACCTCCTTTTCTTTAAAAAAAAAAAAGAAAAAGAAAAAGGCAACAACACAACAGTGTTATATTTCTCTGTATATTTCTGCCTAGAGCTGTATGAATGTGGAGATACAACTCCTTCCAAAGGACGGTTGCCAAGAAAGAAGCGGAGATTGCAAGGAGGACACACCACCAGGTTGGGTTTGGTGGGCCCAGAGCATCAGGGATGGACGAAAGGCCAGCCAGCCTGTGGCCATCCTGCAAACACCCAGCTCCCCCTTTTGGCACTGCCCTTTGCGGCCTCCTGCATTTCATCCAGATATTTCCAGTAAATAAACATTGACGCTTTCGATATCATGTTAATTTCACAGGCTGCTGCTCCAGTGACACTCTTCACACTCCGGTACCTTGTCTTGTCAGTTTTATGCTCCCAGGCCAACGTCTGCTTGCCAACTACGATGTATAGACATAAAAATAAATGGCTCAGAAACCCCAATAAAGTGACAGATAACATAATGGGAGCTGGCTTTGGGAAAGACACACGTTGCCAGAGGTGGGGGACCTCCCAATAGGTGAGTGATGTGGGAGGGGAAAGGTCTTGCTTGAATTAGGAAAGTCCAGGACTACGTCTAGAGTAGCACCAGAAGGAAATAAATTCCTTAGAACAAAAGCCTGATGTGAAACTGATGTGCTTATCCCTAAAGAGAGTTGCAACAATCTCTTTTGGTTCCCCTCATCCCTAGTATATACTAGGATGGGCATCAGTGTTTCTCAACCTTGGCCATTTTAAGATGGATGGACGTCAACTCCCAGAATTCCCCAACCAGCATGGTATTCCTAGCATATTCAGAAATATCTATCAACTATCTATCTATCTATCTATCTTGATCTATCTATCTTGATTTATTTATTTTTGATCTATCTTGATCTATCTATCTTGATCTATCTATCTTCATTATCTATCTTGATCTATCTGTCTTGATCTATCTATCTTGATCTATCTATCTTGATCCATCTATCTATCTTGATCTATCTCCTTGATTATTTATCTGGATCTATCTTGATTTATCTATCTATTCTGATTTATTTATCTTGATCTATCTATCTTGAGCTATCTAATTTCTATCTGTCTGTCTGTCTGTCTATCTATCTATCTATCTATCTATCTATCTATCTATCTATCTATCTATCTATCTATCTATCTTCGCTATTGAATATCCTGTCGAAACCAGAACATCAGAAGGCAAAGCTCATTATGCTGAGGAATTCCAGGAGTTGAAATCCACATGTCTTAAAGGTTGAGAAACACTGCTGCAGATCCCAGGTGAAAGGGGTGGATAGACTCAAGTGCCTGAAGGAAGGAAGGAGCAGACTAATTAGCCGTCTAATTGGGATTCTTAATGAGAGCAGTAGACTTCAAAGTTTCTTGCAGATCTCATTTCTTCTGGTGCTCCCTTCTTAACATCTTCCTTTATTGAGAAGAATGATTCTGCCACAACACAAACAAGGGCAGCGTTTCTTGCATTCGGTTTTTTTTTTTAAATGTGTCAATCTACACAACAGTGGAGAGACACACCAAAGCAGCAAGTCCTGGTTGTGCTGACTCAACCTGAAGCTGTCAGCCTTCTTGTAACACCCAGAAGGGTCCCATCCTTGATGTCCCCCTGGAACCATCCCTATCTCCCTTTTTCCCCTCTTTTTGATAGCCCCATCCCTGGTGTAGTGCAGGATGGGGACAAGAAAAAATGCTGTTTATTTTGGAATCCAGCTTCTGAGAAGGCCGCCAGATGTTCTTAATTGCAGCTGAATGCTTCTCCTCACTTTTGATATTCAAATGCATTGGATCCTTTCAAGAAAACCTGATGGATTTCAAAGCCTGGCAGTTGGAATATGCTAACACCACTAAATTCACGCTTTTTATAACTAGTGGTGAAGCCTTCAAAAAACCCCATTGTATTCAAAATCAGGAGGAGCAAGCAAAAGAAAGAAAGAAAGAAATTATACAAACATGCAGTGTGAATTAGAATTCCAGAACTGTCAAGTTCGTATATGAAAGAAATGTATAAAAACATCAGAAATGCATTTGTATGTTTGTGTTTTGCGGTTGCTGCTGTTACATTTACATCTTGCTGTTCCTGAAGAGAAGGGGCACGGGGGAGGGCAGTTTCCACATCCCAAGAGGATTTGAACCCAAGTCTTCTTGATCCAAATCCAGAACCTTCTGCTGCTTCCCTGTGGCTGAGTAATTAATTGTGTAATTAATAAATTAAACACTGCCAACAACGATCGTTGTGTTGGTCTCTCCCACAGAATAGGAGAAATAAATGCCAGAGAGTGTTCCAAAACTTCATCCATTTCTCAAAGTCACATGGCTCAATACAACTAGCCCTTGTTTAACAACTGCTCACTTAGTGACTGTCTCAAGTTACGAAGGACCCTCCTGATTTCAAAGTTCTGATGGCCACATACACACAAAAACACACCGTAGTTACGTGATCGCATTCGGGCGCTTGGCAACTGTCTCATCTTTACAGCCATTTGAAGTGTCCCACAATCGTGTGACCACAACATTTGATGTTTTTGTTGGTTTCCTGCTATCTTTTTTTCCAGTTTTCTGCAAAAACTGCCCATGGAATAAAATGTATTCACTTAACGACCAGACTGTTTATTTATCGACCACTACAAAAAAAAGGTTGTAAAATCAGGAGCGGTCGCATGGTGTCTTGCTTAATGACCGCAATGACTTACAACCATCATTCTGAGCATGATTGCAGTCGTTAGGTCAAGGACTGTCTGTAGTGTTTCATTCACCTGGGGTGAATAGAACAATATTTCAGTATTCAAACCATAGAAAGTTGAGCTCTATGGATATTAAGGCTGGGGTGTGTTGAGTAATGAGCGTATTAGCATTTCAAAGATTTGTAAATTGATACAACCAAGAGTTTGGGCCAGGAAGCACCAGTTTCAACAAAAGAGAGCTTTTTTTTCAAAGCAGAAACAACACACAGAAACACCCTAATGATGGGTGTGCACAAGGGTCCTTGCCTCCCTCGCCCTGAAATTCACACCTGGGCTTAAGGTCCAGCTTCTTGCCCAGCTGAGAACGACCACATGTTTATTCAACTGCTGTTCCTGGTATCTTAGGACATCAGCTTGGGTTGAACTGTGGTCAGAAATGCTTTTGAAGGAAAAGACTTTCCATCTGTTCCTTCCTTGGATTTGGCAAATGTTTATAATTACAGGGTAAAGTCAAAGCTATCTTTGGCATCTGGTAATTGAGTCTGCAAGGTTGTCCTTGTTCAACAAAAGTTGGCGATATTTTCAGGTGCCATGTCGAACCGCCTACTCTAATGCAGTGGAGCAGATGTTGAAAATCAATCCAGATTAAGACTTGGCCAACGTTGAGTTGGCCACTTTCTCTGGAATGACTGCAACTACAATCAAAATTAAAAAATCAAGATGGCGGCTATAAACAGTCAACCTGGCCATCATCTTGCCTTGTTTGGCATTTTCCTCCTCCCATTGATGCCTTGCCCTGTAACAGAATAACATAATTGGAAGGGACCTTGGAGGCCTTCTAGTCCAACCCCCTGCTCAAGCAGGAGACCCTACCAGGGGTTCTCAACCTTGGCAACTTTAAGACTTGTGGACTTCAACTCCCAGCAAAGCTGGCTGAGGAATTCTGGGAGTTGAAGTCCACAAATCTTAAAGTTGCCAAGGTTGAGAACCCCTGCCCTAGACCTTTCTGGGAAAATGACTGCCTAATCTCTTCTTACAAACCTCCAGTGTTTTGGAAGCAAGCTGTTCCACTGCTTAATTGTTCTGATTGTCAGGAAATTTCTCCTTAGTTCTAGGTTGGTTTTCTTACAATCTTGTATCTTTCAAGACTTCAGTAGTCTCAGCAAACTGATTCCAGTCCTTTATCCCAAGTCATGTCTCACGTTATTTTATAGCCTGCTGACAGAATAGCCTGTTGGGATTTTAATTTCTTCCCATCACACTAAATAATTAAAATCTTCCCCAGGTACAATCTTTTTTAATATAGGCACCCTTGTTCCCCCCCCCCAAGGAAAGTGGGGGAGGAAATCCCATCCTGGCTGCCATAAATACTTAACAGCCTTCTTGTTTTATCACATCCTTCATCTCTAAGTTTTAAATATCATGCTAGATGTACTTTTCAATCTTTTTAATTACCATCACACCATCATGAAACCCTGCTAATATATAAGGCAAATAACAAGTGAGGGGTAAGCATAGAGCTTTTTATCCAACCTATTACTTTATTTTTCTAATGCTGCTGTTAAAAACCATATTCAATTGGACACATTTTTTTTATTAACATGTTGCAGCTACTTCTTGCTCTCCCCCCGTTTTAAAATATGCAAGGCTTCATTGTGTAAAGAAATATGGTTTTGTCCTATTTGACTTGAGGAATGAAGAATCATCTCTAAATTAATAGTCCTTGACCTACAACCACAACTGAGCCCCAAATTTCCATTGCTAAGCGAGACACTTGCTTTTTGCCCCATTTTACAACCTTTCTTGCCAAAATTGTTAAGTGAATCACTGCAGTTGTTAGATTAGCAACATGGTTGTTAAGTGAATCTGGCTTCCCCCCATTGACTTTGCTTGTCAGAAGGTCACAAGAGGGGATCACATGACCCCCCCCCGGGGCGCTGCGATCATTGTAAATATGAGCCAATTGCCAAGTATCCAAGTGGGTGGGTGGGTGGGTGGGTAGAGAGGTAGAGAGATAGATAGAGAGGGATAGGAGAGAGAAATGATAGACAGATAGATAGATAGACAGACAGACAGACAGACAGACAGACAGACAGACAGACAGACAGATAGATAGATAGATAGATAGATAGATAGGTGTGTTGTGTGTGTATGTGAGAAAGAGAGATGATAAATAGATAGATAGATAGATAGATAGATAGATAGATAGATAGATAGATAGATAGATAGATAGATAGATAGATAGATAGATAGATATGTGTTTGTGTTGTGTGTGAGAGAGAGATGATAGATAGATAGATAGATAGATAGATAGATAGATAGATAGATAGATAGATAGATAGATAGATAGATAGATAGATGTGTTTGTGTGTGTGTGAGAGAGAGAGATGATAAATAGATGTGTTTGTGTTTTGTGTGTGTGTATGTGTGAGATAGATAGATAGATAGATAGATAGATAGATAGATAGATAGATAGATAGATGTGTGTGTGAGAGAAAGAGAGAGAGAAAGTAAATAGATAGATAGATAGATAGATAGATAGATAGATAGATAGATAGATAGATAGATAGATATGTGTGTGTGTGAAAGAGAGAGAGAGAGAGATGATAGATATAAAG